TTTTTTTTTTTTTTTTGAGACAGAGTCTCAACCTGTCACCCTAGGTAGAGTGCATTGGTGTCATCATAACTCAGGGCAATCTGAGGCTGCCTCAGCCTCCTAAGTAGCTAGTACTGCAGGCTAATTTTTCTATTTTCAGTAAAGACAGAGTCGCACTCTTGCTTAGGCTAGTCTCTAACTCCAACTCTTGGCTCAGGTAATCCTCCCACTTCAGCCTTGAGTGCTAGGATTACAGGAGTGAACCACCGTCCGGGCCTTCAGTTCTTTTATTTAAAATGTTTCTTTTTAAAATCATTTGCTCTTCGTAGTCTTTTTTTTTTTTTTTGAGACAGTCTCACTTTGTCACCTTGGTAGAGTGCTGTGACATCTTGGCTCACAGCAGCCTCAAACTCCTGGGCTTAAGCGATTGTCTTGCCTCACTCTCCTGAGTAGCTAGGACTACAGGTGCCTGGTTATTTTTTAGAAATGAAGTCTCACTCTGGCTCAGGCTGGTCTTGAACCTGTGAGCTCAGGCAGTCCACCTGCCTTGGCTTCCCAGAGTATTCGGATTACATGTGTTAGCCATTGTCTTCTTCAAAGTCTTTCATCTAGTATAATTTGAGAGTTGTAATGTCTTATTTCTGAGTAATGGCTAACAATGAAAGATAGAACCTGCTGTGGTAATTGGGTATATTATAGGAATAAGATAGTTTGTCCTTTCTGCTGATTAGTCCTGGACATAATTTCATACTCTGGTAAAAATTTGAGGCTGTTGTGTAATGCAGGTAAATCTAGCTCTCATAGGTTCAATTAAAAAGAAGAAAAAATTTTGATTGTAAAGTGTCCATTGGGGTTTTAATTAATATTGTTTCACTTTTTCCTCTCTTCCCCTTCAGGATTTAAGAGGGGTGCAGATCCTGGAATGCCTGAGCCAACTGTTTTGAGGTACTGCTCTTACAAATAAACATTATAGGGCACATGTTCATGTGATTATAACTGGCTCATTGGGACATAGTTGTAGGCATTGAAAGTGGAGCCTTACCACTCTATAGTTTGAAGCTGTTGGAAAACTGCAACAGTTTGCAGACCAGTCTAGCTTGTATGATTAGGTATTCTCCCCCTCCGCCCCAGTTTTATTTGCAAATTATAAATGTAATGAAGCATACAAGAGAAAATGAGTTAATTTATCATCTTACCACTTTAAAAGGTGAACTGTTTAATTTCCTGTATTCCCATCTTATCCTTGTTTAGATGAAAACAGCATTTTATATCATTCTAATGAGCATACGTAGGGTTTTGTTTTCCTCACCTAAAATTTGAGTTGCTGTCCTATACATTTTCCAGTTGTGGATTACTTAGGTTTTTCAGGATTGCATAACAATATAATTAACATGTATATGCACATGGGTCTTATAGATTTTGATTTATTTTCTTACGCTAAATTCTCATGGGATTAATTAAGTCAAAGTATATGAACATTTATGGCTCTGATTATCAATTTCTTTCTTGGAAACAACCTTGGTGGTGTTGAATAAGCACCTGTGAAAACTTCACACACAGTATACATATTCAAATGCACAAGTATAGAAGTATATGTGTCTACTTGTGAACACTATATATGTATATGTATACATGTATATACATATGAAGACATAATTCCAAATAAGCACATTTCCTCTGGATGAAGGACTGATACTCATGGCATCAGTGACCATGACCACTGCACACTAGTGTGTGGGATTTCACTTTGACCATTTGCCTCACAGTATCTTTTATTAAGGGATGCCCTAGCAAGCTTTTTTACTGACTATTATAGGGCTTCAGTTTCTTCAAAGTCCTATTCTCAGCTACTTTTTTCTAAAATGGGCAAAAGATAATGATAATAGTATTCACTGTCATGTACAATGTGTCAGCCACTGTTTTAGCAATGTGTCCTTCAGAGTAGGTCACATAGTCCATAGGTGATGGTGTATATCTCCAAAGCTCACACTCTGGCTCACATGGCCTCCCCAGGTTATCTTACCTCTTGCTTAACTTAGCACAGTGCCGTCTGATATGAACGTCCTCCACTCCCTCTGCCCTGATGGTCTCTCCCAGAGGAAGGGCTTTTCTTTCCTCAGAGGGTACCACCATCGATGTCTTCACACACTTCACACACTTCTACAGCTATTGTTTTCCTTGAAAAAGTACTTAACCAAATGGTGTCCACTGCTTTCTTTACCTCTCTCTTCCTTTAACTTTTCTTTTCTCTTTTTTTTTTTGAGATAGGGTCTCGCTTTGTCACCCTTGGTAGAGTGCTATGATATCATAGCTCACAGCAACCTCAAACTCTTGGGCTCAAGCAATTCTCTTCCATCAGCCTCCCACATAGCTGGGATTACAAGTACGCGATCCGATATGCTGCCCAGCTATTTTTAGAGATAAGGTCTTGCTCTCACTCAGGCTGGTCCCAAGCCTGTAAGCTCAGGCAGTCCACCCACCTTGGCCTCCCAGAGTGCTAGGATTACAGGTGTGAACCCCTGTGCCCAGCCCTCCTTAAACTCTTTATGGCAGGCGTCCTCAAACTATGGTCCGTGGGCCACATGCAGCCTGTCTAGGACGTTTATCCGGCCTGCCAGGTGTTTTTGCCAACGCTGCCTGTCCTGCTTAGCAGCCGACTCGTCCCGGGGCCTGCAGTCCGGCCCTCCAACTGTCTGAGGGACAGTGAACTTGGCCCCTTGTTTAAAAAGTTTGAGGACCCCTGCTTTATGGCATGATCTTGAAATTGCTTTCAGAGATCCCCCAATCTCCTTTTTTTCTTATCCATGACTCTGAACTATCAGTTTCCTTTTCTATAAAGTGGGGATTGAGGTACTGTATCTGCTGCTTACTAGTTGAGTGACCTTAGACCAGCTGTTACCTTAGCAGAACATTACCTTAGGAAACACTTTCACACATAGGACTTTTGAGTCAAACTGTGTGAACATTTTCCGGGCAACAGAAGTGATCATCAAATACCTTTGCCCAAGAAGCCATTAACCTTCCTAAGCTATCGTTTCCTTTTTGAAAGTTGTATATAATAATACTTCATAAAGTTGCTGTGAGGATTAAATAAGATTCAGTAATATTTAATAAGTATGTAACATTAACAATGCATGTCAAGTAATATGTGATCAATAAACTGTTAAAAGTAATTGTTAATCTTTTCTATGTCATCTCCTTTGTCCTTTTATGAGAACAGTGCTCTGGTCACTTGATACTCCATGCTAAAATGTTGGAATAAACTGTATTTTTATGCCTTTGTGCATATGCTTGTGTTCTCTCAGCCTGGAATATTCTTTCCCTTTAGTTTCTACTGTTGGAAACCTGCTTCTAGAAAAGTCCAATCTTAAGGGGAAGAGCAAAACCTACCTAATGGGTACAGTGGACACTACCTGGGTGGATGGGCAGGGACTGACACTTTACAAAAGTGATCTGTATAACCTAAAACATTTGTACCCCTTTAATATTTCAAAAAGAAAAGAAAAAAAATTGCTTAAAAAAAGAAACAATCAAAAGAACTGGTTAAACTGACTAAAACTTAAAAAAAGCCCAACTTCAAATGTCACCTCTTCCCTAAATGTCTCCCTCCTAGCTGAATCTACTCCCTTCTGTGTGTTGCCACAGAATTCTTTTGTGTCTGTCATTTTCTGCCTTGTATTTTTCATGTTGCTTATTTATATTACATTTTGTCCTGTATGCACCTAAAGTAGCTGTTTGACAAGTGGCCATTACATGTGGGTGGTCTTTTGGACAGGAAATGATACAGCATTGCATCTTGTATAGTGTTTAGACTGGACCAGCATGCTAGAAAATAACATTCCTTTTGCCTTGGATGATCTAGGATACCGAGATGGGGAAAGAATGTGTCCTCTTGTGCTTTTTTTAAAGTATCATTTATCACACCAAGATTTGACCTTTCAAAGTTGTAAACTTGATGGAAACATTACCACCACCCCCCTTTATTTCTTCACTTTATTGTCTTTGCAGAGCTTTTCTCCTTTCTGGTCAATCTTTTCTGTCATTAAGAACATCTGGTTTCCTTCTAGAACAGCGGTTCTCAACCTGTGGGTTGTGACCCCTTTCACAGGGGTCGCCTAAGACCATCGGAAAACACATGATGTGTTATGACGTTGCAATGAAAATTTTATGGTTGGGGTCACCACAACATGAGGAACAGTATTAAAGGGTCACAGCACTAGGAAGGTTGAGAACTACTGTTCTGGAAGTATTTCTGTTTCAGGAAAGAATTAATTGAGTGCCTGCAAAGGGTTATCCAGTTAAGGAATGTTGTATACTGTGCTGCCTGTACTAGGGAGACTGACTAGAGAGGTCTTCCTAGTTGTCTAGTCTGTACCCTGCAAGGAATAGAATTGTATCTGCTATGATTTTTACTAAGTAGAACATTTTTACTGATATAAAATTTATCATTCATTAACATAAAGTCTGTTATTTCTATATTATGTAAAAAATATAGTTAATGATTTACTGGTTTTCCTTTGCCAAGTTGTCAGATTCTTTGGAATTAGGATCATTCATTTTTTACGCAAATGACTCATTGTACAGAGCAGGCATCCTTAAACTACGGCCCGCGGGCCACATGCAGTCCGCCTAGGACATTTATCTGGCCTGCCCGGTATTTTGCCACCTCTGCCTGTTCTGCTTAGCAGCTGACTCGTCCCAGGCCCGCAGTCCAGCCCTCCAATGGTCTAAGGGCCAGTGAACTGGTCCCCTGTTTATAAAGTTTGAGGACCCCTGGTACATAGTCAGCAAACGATGGATGATATGATTGCCATATTCAAAATGCAGCACTTTAATAAATAAAGGGTAATATCTTAGTAAAACACTTAGCCAAAACATATGAATACTTAGGCTAAGAGTCTTTATTCCTATTAGTAAGTCGAAGGAAGATTTTCATTTCTCTTTATTTTGGATATTCATTATCATTGGGGAAGAAACCTTAAATGAAGAATTTATGTTCATGACTTAATTGCATGCAAAAATTCTTGGGGTTTAATGGGAGATTTTATATACATTTGAAAATTAAAAAGAGATGGCTGTTGGCCTTTTTCCAGGCACAAGGAAAATACTTTTTAAAAATAAATTTTTCAGAACTTTCAAATGTCACTTTATCATAGAGTTGTGTTCAACTGGGCTGGAAATCACTTTTTTTTTTTTGCAACATTGTCTCAAGCTCTCACCCTGGATAGAGTGCTGTGGCATCATAGCTCATAGCAACCTCCAACTCGGGCTCAAGTGATCCTTCTGCCTCAGTTTTTCTGTTTTTAGTAGAGATAAGGTCTGCTTTTTGCTCAGGCTGGTCTTAGACTCCTGAGCTCAAGCAATCCACCTGCCTGGCCTTCCAGAGTGCTGGGATTGCAGGTGTGAGCCACCGTGCGCGGCCTAGAAATCACATTTTTAATCGATAGGATTTAGAACTGAAAAGCCTCTTATCTTTCCTGTATCCTGTTACTTAGAGCCAGCAAAGGATTTGGAAATTTGACTCCACAGTGGCTGGAATGTTCAGGGTAAGAATTAGTTGGGTGGAAAATGGAGACTAATTGCTGTAGTGTTTCGAGCACTTCGGTCACATCCTAATCTGGCCACTTTATTATGCTTTATATGATAACTATTTCAAAGCTTCAGTTTCTACATGTTTAAAATAGGGAACATTACTGGGCCTTGTAAACTTCCTGCACAGCATTTTACTAACCTACAGGAAGCATTCAATAAATGTTGTTTTGATATTACTGATGTTCTATCTACTAATGAGATAGCTTTATATTCTGGGTTCATAGTCCTTCCAGTTAATGAAAGTCCTTACTCATTTATCTTTTTTTTTTTTTTTTGAGACAGAATCTCTCTTTGTTGCCCTTGTAGAGTGTTGTGGCATCATAGTTGACAACAACCTCAAACTCTTGGGCTCAGGCAATTCTTTTGCCTCAGCCTCCCAAGTAGCTGGGATTATAGGAGCCTGCCACAATCCCTGGCTATCTGGCTATTTTTAGAGATGATGTCTTGCTCTGGCTCAGGCTGGTCTCAAACCTGTGAACTCAGGCAATCCACCCACATCAGCCTCCTAAATGCTAGGATTACAGGGGTGAGCCACCAACACCCGGCCTACTCATTTATCTTTTAATTGACCTAACTTATCATATATCAGTTTACATTTTCTTTTTCATTTATAATAAGTAATGGCAGTCCAGAGTAAACTGTATTTCCTTAAATAAAGTTCTATATGTTTAACATTTTGGATTCAGTGAGATTGGTTCTTGTCTTCTATGTGGTAGATGAGCACACACAAACGTAAATGTGTAAAATCTTCTAGTTCTTAAACTATGTTTAGAGAGTTTTCTTTTGAGGTTTAATTTATTTCTCCTCTTCACAAACATTTTAGCTTGCTTTGGGGATAAAAGGCTATTTGGTCATCTGGCTTTGGAAGCAATCAGTGGACAGGAACAGCATGGAAGAATTTGTGGTCTGGCCGCAATGAGAGATGGAACATCCTTCAGATGGTCACCGTTCGGACGGCACAGATGCATCTATGGCAGCGTGGAACCTCTATGGACTTATTTATAACAGAATGTATTAAAATGAATATTTTTAACAATGTTGTGTCAAGCCTTTTTTCAACTGAACATGTAAGGATTATCTGATAAAAGTTAATGGTCCTTTTTCAAAACAGGAAAGCTATGTTATATACCTAGATGATATTAAAAATTAAAAAAAATTAAGTTAATTTCTTCCTGTTCACTTAAATGGATTACAGTTTCCCTCTACAGTGAGTTAATAACCCCCTCTGGGATGTTCTGAAGCAGTAAGGATACAAACTCTCTGTTTGTAACAAATGGAGCCTTTGCTTTCTCCGCTGCCTTAGCCTTTAGAAAGGGTCTGGGCGGCTGGTGCTGGTGGATGGGAATGGCATTGCAGAGTTGTGTGACCCTTCTATTTGTAGATTCATTGTGAATCTTGGATTTCCTTCAGTGGCATTAAGAAACTAGAGCTGGCCAGACAAGAGCCATGGAGACCTACATGGAATAGTAGTAGCACTTTTTATTTTCTGTTAGAAGAAAAGCCAGTTAATTAATGGAAATTAGTTTTCAGTTCTAGGTACTGATTTCCTAGAACCTTCACTTGTATTTGAATCCAATTTTTATTAGTTTTTTTCACTCTTCTATGAAAATAAATTTGTTTACTTAGTTTTGGGAAGTATAATTAATTTTGGAAAGTAGACTCTGAAACAAGATATGACAGTTTGGGAAAAGCCAATTTGAGTTGAATCTTAAAAATCCAGTGTTTTAAGTAGAGAGTAATCTTGAATGTAATCCCTGTCAGGTGTTGGAAGCTTTTATCACCAGAAAGTTCTTCCTGGTGACGCCCGTAGCTCAGTCGGCAGGGCGCCAGCCACATACACCTAGGGTGGCGGGTTTGAACCTGGCCTGGGCCAGCTAAGAAACAATGACAACTGCAACAAAAAAATAGGCATTGTGGTGGGCGCCTATAGTCCCAGCTACTTGGGAGGCGGAGGCAAGAGAATACCTTAAGCCTAAGAGTTAGAGGTTGCTGTGAGTGTGATGCCACAGCACTCTACCCAGGGTGACAGTTTTGAGACTTGTCTCAAAAAAAAGAAAGAAAAGAACTTCCTTGTTTCTTTTTCTTCTCTCTCTCTCTTGTTTTTTCTTGAGACGAAGTCTCACTCTATTGCCCAGGCTAGAGTGCTCTGGCATCACAGCTCACAGCAACCTCAAACTCCTGGGCTAGAGCGATTCTCTTGCCTCAGTCTCCCGAGTAGCTGGGACTATAGGTGCCTGCCACAAGGGCTGGCTATTTTTCGAGACAGGGTCTTGCTCTGACTCAGGCTGATCTGGAACCTGTGAGCTCACGTTGTCCAACTGCCTTGGCCTCCCAGAGTGCTAGGATTACAGGCATGAGTCACCCCGCCCAGCCATACTTCCTTATTTCTAACATAAAAGTCTCTTTGCTATTTAAGCCTATTTTCTCAATTTATTTTTACCCTTTACTGTTGTGATGTAGACAGTTGTGGAAGTTTATTTCTTAAGGGCATTTTAAAGTGGAATTCTTGAGAGCTAACTGCAGTAAAACCATTTTCGGAAGTGCTTAATGTTATTGCTTCAAAATCCTGGGAATCCAGTCACATGGAGTTTTGATGAAAACTCTTGAGCATAGCTTTTAAATTACATAGAATTGCTTAAGTCTGTGGTCCCCCCACCTTCTTCCTGCTAATCCTTTTTGCTAAGTGAGTTGTCAGTGAATTTTTGTTCAGTTAGGATTTTGGTATGTATTTTTCTTCTCTTTCCCACTCAGTTTTCAGAAATTGAGAAACTAAAGCTGTGGCAAGTTTCCTTTTTGATAAAAGGATAAAGTGAATAGTAAAGATACCTGGCTTTGTGGTTTTTTGTGGGGTTACCTATTGTAGCTGTCTTTAAAAACCCAGAAGATTTTCAGCTCGGCATTGTGGTATGCACCTACCATGTTTCCCTGAAAGTAAGACACTGTCTTATATTTATTTTTTCTCAAGAAGACACACACCAGGGCTTATTTTTTTTTCCTTTTTTTGGGCAGTTTTTGGCCAGGGCTTGGTTTGAACCCACCACCTCTGGCATATGGGGCTGGAACCCTACTCCTTTGAGCTACAGGTGCTGCACCACTAGGTCTTATTTTCAGGGGATGTCTTCCTCTCCACTCCAAAATCCATGGTGTGGCTAGGCCATCATTAGATCTTATTATCAGGGTAGGGCTTATATTTAAGAAACGCATAGAAATCCTGCTATGACTTATTTTTGAGGTAGGTCTTATTTTCGGGGAAACATGGTATAGTCCCAGTTACTTGGAAGGCTGAGGTGGGAGGATCACTTGAATCCAGGAGTTCAAGGTCAGCCTAGGCAGATTAGGAAGATCCTGTCTCAAAACCAAATAATTTTAAAGTAAAGAGTTACAGGATTTAGTAGGATAGGCCCAGCTCTGATCTCACATCTGAAGATGCTAAGTAAGGAGTAGAGTTTAAGCCTGTGTTCAAGGCACTGCATAAGAACTGAGACCAGTACACGCTTTACTGTATCTGTACATACTAAAGTTTGTGAGATGATTAAGACTCAGCTCCCACGTTTTATTGAATTTTAATTTTTAGGGCAGTACAGTCCAATTCAACAAGCATTTATTGGTCTATGCTGTGCTAGACACTAGCACATGATTGAGATTATCCCTGACCTTGATTAGCTTAGGGGAAAACAGCTGTTAGGACCTGTTGGCATCCTGGCCTTGCCACTAAGCTCCTAGAACCTCAATTTTTAGGCTTCTTCCACCAGATGGGAACAACAAAACTTGCCCTGAGTTGCTGTTTCCTAAACCAGTGGTTCTCATACCTGGTCCCAAGCTAGTGTAACATAGAAACTTGTTAGAAACACAACTTTCTAGGTCTCACTCTGGACTTCCTGAATCAGAAACTGGTGGTGAGGCGCAGCAGTGTGTGTGTATGTGTTTGTGTGTTTCATTTTCTTTATCATTTCAAAACAAGTTTTGAGAAAATTGTAGCATTGTATGTAGTGTGAGAAATGATGCAGAAAGATCCTGGTAGATCTTTAAAGATCCTTTACAATTTCAAAAAGAAAAATCCTGGCGGATCTTTAAAGATCCTTTACAATTTCAAAAAGAAAGATCCTGTGGATCTGTAAAGATCCTTTACAATTTCCTCCAATGGTGGTAATCTGCAAAACTGTAGTATTAGGATATTGACACTGATGCCGTCAAGAACATCCATCCCCAAGAGGATCCCTCATGTTGCTGTTTTATTGCCGTCCTCCTGCCCACCCCCGACCCTAACTCTTGACAACCAGTGATCTGTTGTCTGTTTTTATCATTTTGTCATTTGAAGGTAGTTATACAAGGGCTGTCCTAGAAGTATCTAGCCATGTAACATGAAAAGTAGAAGCATATATGGTTGGATATTAACAGCCCTCTCGTATAAATGGACTCATTCATGGGTATCTATGAAAGTTTTGTGACAGACTGTGTTATGGTCCATTATTTTCACTTCCGAGAAACACAGTTGACAGTGTCCTTTCTAATTCACCCATGCCAGTTTCAACTTGCCTGGCTTATCAGTGTTGCTGGGAGGGCTTCATTTGTTTATGTTTGAGGATTTTATGTTTCTTGATTTTTGTGTATCTCAAAACTTTTATAATGATCCACATATAAGAAGCTTTTTTCACTTCTTGGGGCTAGCTTTTTTCACTCAGCGTAATTCTCTGTAGGTTCATCCAGACTGGGTGTATCAATTGTTCACTCTTTTCTATTGGTGAATAATATTCCATGGTGTGCTTGTATGTGGAGGATGTCTGAGTTGTTCCCAATTTTTACCTGTTATAAATAAAACTTCTATGAGTATTCACGTACAGGTTTTTGTGTGATTGATCTGTGGTTTAACAAACCAAATCCAGGTAATTCTGATGCAACTCAGGCTTCAGAACTGCTTCCTACACTTGGAGAAGCCTTCCTGCCTCCACCTCTGTGTTACAGTACGTTCTCCACCTAACATCCATGCTTAATTTAACTTCTTTGAAATTGCTATGTTAGCTATTATTATTATAAACACTTCTTTAAGTATTTATTTTTGTTGTCTTTATTTGAATAGCCTGCATTTAATTGTATGTTTTGCATGCAATAAAATGAACAGGTCTTAAGTGTGCGTGCAGTTTTGTTGAGTGTTGCCAATTGTATGTACTCTGTAATCACCACACTGGGGTGGTGAGCCAGCTCTTCTTGAACCTGGTATGCTTAGTGTATCACATATGGTAGATGCCCAGTAAATGTTTTTGAGTTTTATACACACACACACACACACACACACACACATATATATATAAACACACACATACTCTATATATGTAAACTCTGAGGTTGACATAGATTAACCGTATAGAACATTTTAGCTGATGCTCTTCTTTGTTTAGCCAAAGAAGCAAAGATAAGGTAAATAATACCATCTTCAGAGCCTTACTTGAAACCTGGATGATGGGTGAAAAAAGGAAAAGAAAAGAAAAGGCACTGCTGTACTTTCTCTTTCCTCTTACATCCTGGACAATGTGGCAGAGGGAGAAGTAAGGACCAGAGCGTGGAAACAGGGAGGAAAAACAAAGTTTGTCCTGAGGAAACTTAGACTTGTACCACTAATGGGAAGTGAGATGCGAAAGCTCAGCAGCTCCCTGCTGCTCCCTAATGCCTCTTTAAGATGAGGCCCCAGGAGGTAATGGACAAGAGTCACCTCAGAGAGCAAAATTAGAAGCTCCAGAAGGAGTTTCTCAGCGAACAGAACTGCAGGCCCAGATACCCCAGGGGAGGAAGTCTGTTCCTACCCCATGAGGTTAAATACTGCTCTGAAGATCAGACATCACTGCAAGCTCTCCTGCCTTTTTCTTTCTGAATAGCAGTTTTTTAACTTTTGATCTTGTTCCTATTCTACCTTTGTATGTTGGGTAAGTTGGGGACAGAGAACTCATTTTTAAGATCTTAGATTGCCAGATCACGAAGCTCCTTCTGGAGCAGACGGAAGGTTCACATTTCCTAGTTCCTGAACTTTAACTTGGAGGTCGT